GATTTTTTGTATTGGCTTAAACAAAATGTTGGGGTGCCTGGGTGGCTCAGTCCTTAAGCATCTGCCTTCGGCTCAGGTCATGATCCCAAATCTTGGGATCAAGCCCCGCACTGGGGCTCCCTGTTCAGTGGGAAGCCTGCTTCTCCCTCTCCCACTCCCTCTGCTTGTATTCCCTCTCTTACTGTGTCTCTCTCTGTCAAATAAATAATAAAAATAAAATCTTAAAAAAAAAATTTGTGGTCTGCTGTGTGAATCCAAGAGCAAATCCCAAGGCTCACCCAATATACATATACTGAGGGAAGCCACAGTGTCTCTTACTTAACATCCTTGCCTGCAAAGATTGGAATTTAGTTTCCAGAAAACTAGTATCACCTCTAAGAACAAGAGTTAACACCCTTAGCTACCCTTCATCAAGGACCTTCTATGGTCTGGTGTTAAGTACTATACATACCCAAGAGCTAACATTAATTGAGCATTGGCTTGAACCAGGCAGGGTGTTCAGTCTTACAGATATTATCTCATGAGTTTTTCATCCTGCCCATTATGCAGGTACTGAAGTTCTCCCCTTTGACCCAAGAGGCTCAAGGAGGGAAAGCAATTTGGTCAAGGTCAAGTTTGCTGGACCTGGAGCCTACAACCTCTGCCTGGTCTGCATGATCTGCTACTCCTCAGGACTAACTGCCTGCCCCAGGGGAGCTGACCCAGTCTCTTACGGCCACTTAAGTATCTTGGATTCTGTCCAAGTTACCTCCTGCTGCAGGCAACGACTCCATTCAGGGTTAGCAAGTATTTCTACCTTTGAGGTGTCGGGATGAGGGGAAAACTTAATCCCAAGGAACAACCTGAGGGCTTTGTTAGACTATGTCACACTGAATAAAAAGCAAAGGGGTGTTGATTTTTTTCAAGCACATTCTCCCATCATTTTCCACCTCAGTTGTTTGTTAAACTTAATTAATTGCTATTACAGAACCCATCCAGGCAAGATATCAGCAGGACAGATATATGGCTGATGAATCAGCTTTTATGATTTAGCTCCAAATTGAAGGTGAATGTCCCGCCTGCGACTTTAACCGAAATCAGACCTTCACTCATAAAGTAAGTCTTTGTTCAAAGGCAGCCCCAGTACAACCCCCGCCTGTTCTTTATTTAGTCGTGTTACTACAGAAATGCCTTATAGCTAGTCTCTTAATTATTCATGGTTTTTGGCAAATCAAGTCTCATGCCTCTCCAATATCTAGGCGTAAAGGAAGTGTTCAATTCCAAAGAAATTATGCCTTCCCAGCTGTGCCAGCCAGGGATGGTGTTGTTGCCAAATTCCATATGAATAGGTGGGAGATCTTATTTCACTTATAGTATATGAATACACAAAACACTCCCAGGGAACTGCCAGGTATTTCATGTAACAAATACCTCCTGCACCACCCTTCTTTCTCTCTGGAGTCACTGAGCCCTGGATTTCCCACAAAGACGTTTCAGCCTAGAAGCAAGAAAATGACGCCTTTTCATTATCAAGATGATAAAAAATGGGGTTCAATAAAATATGTAACCCTACGAGGTTTCCAGTTCATGTGCCAGTATACTGGGCAGGACCACCGGACACTGATTGAGAAATTGTAATTATTGGAGAGCAATAAGGGTGTTCTAATAGATGAGCCCCCACCCCGTTAACTTGAATTACTGCGGCAAAATGCTTAGAAATGTGTTTGCCATGAATCTTTGTACTTATCTAGGCAAATAACTGTTTTATTTAAAGAGCTCTAGATTTGAGATTCTAAAAAGGCAGGTGCAGTGGACATTGCAGATTGGACCCCAACTGAGCACTGACCCTCCCCCATTGTTTGACAGCTTTGTGGTCAGCCTGGGACCAACCTCACTCCCAGCTGCAGAAATGGGTCTGCTACCCCACTGCTCCAAGCCTATCAGTATAATTAGTGTTTCTCAACAATTACACTCATTATCATCGTCTTAAGGAGTCTTATAGATAGTTTTTTGTTTGCTAGTCACCCCCTCCCCCAGCAAATTCTAATGCCAAAAATATACTATATCTCTGTTTAGGTATTGTATGCATATCTGTGCTTTATACACAAAAAGAGGAGGATTTTTTTGTGCCCCCTTCCCATTCCCAAGAAATAATTGTTGCCTCGGGGTGGGGGGGGGATGTCCTATCACTTCCATTGAGAATGCCTGAATTATAATCTCATTTCCCAAGCCATTTAGTGCCTGGCACTGGGGGTGGGCACAGACCTTAAGTTAATCTATGAGAGAAAAAACTGGGATTTTTTTGATGAGAAATGTTTTTTTTTTCATTCTAGATGGGTTCATATGTGGATCTAAGCCCTAGAACTGCTATAGCTATCTGCTATCATGAGGAAAGAAACCAGCTAAAGAAAAAGCCGATACATGAAAAAGACAAGGCTAAAAGTATCATGGACAACAAACATCGTGTCTGGATCAAACCATACCTGAAGTTCATCAACTGCTAAACTTTTCAGTTTGTCAAAAGTCCCTTCTTTTCATTTTGTAGGTTAGAGTTGGGTTTCCTATTATTATAAATCCCAAATGACAGAGCAGATGGCATTTACGGGATGCTTCCTAAACTCTAGGCAATGTGCTAAATATCTTATGTATCAATTAATTGTTTTTTTTTTTATATTTTATTTATTTGACAGACAGATCACAAGTAGCAGAGGCAGGCAGAGAGAGGGAATCAGGCTCCCTGCTGAGCAGAGGGACCGATGTGGGGCTCGATCCCAGGACCTTGAGACCATGACCTGAGCCAGAGGCAGAGGCTTTAACCCACTGAGCTACCCAGGCACCCCTCAATTAATTCTTTTATCAACCTCTGTGATTAGTACATTGTATTTGCCATTTTATGAATGATAAACTGAATCGGGGTAAGATGAAGTAACTTACGTATGATCAAACATAGGCAGAGACTGGATTTATTCCTATGTCTCTCTAACTTGGAGCCCAAGGTACCAACCGCTTCATATTATTGCCTTTCAGTTCTATACATATTTAAGTCACTATTTTCTTGCTCAGTATTTAAAAGACATTCATGAAAATGGTGTTTCTTTGCTAACAATTAACTTGTGTTGTACAATTAAGAAATCCATGATTCTCCCAAGTTTTAAAATATTTTGAGAATTCTTACTTCTCCCAAAGCCCAGGAAACTTTAGAAATCATTTCCTACTTATGAGTATACTCATAAAAATGGCTACCATTATTTTAGATGCTCTTTCTTACTATCATGAGAGGGCTGTGACTCAGTAACCACCCATTTTACAGAAAATAACTTAAAATTTAGTAGGATAGTCCTTCAAGCTGCTGTTCTGCTAACGAATAATGATTGAATAAAACTTATAGAGAATCCATGATGGGGGTGTGTGTGTGTCTCAGGATTCAGGAACCTAACCTCATTAGTCACTATCAGCAAAGAAATAAGCAATATGTCCCCTGAACCTTGAGCAGAGATGCATAGAGGCTGTCTGTTTGGTTCCAATATTTTTGTTCTCCATTTGAAAGTTTCTCCAACATTGAAAAGCAAAAACAAAACTCTGTGGGGGTCACTTCTACAGAACAATGCAACAATGATTTCCCTAAAGACAAAAAGACTGAGACGCGGACACTTCTGGCTCCCAAAAACCAGGTAATCTGTGTACTGTGGCCAGAAGGCATATGTCCACGGCTCCATAATACTCTCAAACCCCCCACAGGCCATCCTGCATCACAGTCTGGCTTCTGAATTTTCCCAAAATGCAAGACATCACAGACATGTTCTCTAAAGCAGGAGTCCTGAGAGCATGAAGGAAATGCCGCTCACGTTGTAACAAGGATGATACGGACGGACATCAACAATGACAAGGGGATGCTGGTTCTTTACATCCCCTCAGTTTAACCTCAGGGGTTGCTCTTTTCATTTTGCTTGATGGATGGAAGACTACAGCTTGCCAAAACCAGAGCCTTGATCACATATAGGACCCAGTATGATGAGATATAAATGATAGCCATAGTGGGCACGGGGTCAGGGTAGGGTGCATCCAGGAACTGTAATAGAGCTGCTTCCACATCACAGGGAAGAAAAACGTGATGATACAGTCCCATAGTAAACACCAGGTATAATCTTCCTAAATGCAATGTAGATTTTTTTTTTTAATCTCAAAGATATTAACCAACCCAGGCAAAGGACTTTTAAATCCACAAATGACTGTCAAAAAGAAAAAAAAAAAAAATCCAGGGAAGCTGCAGTCCCAGAGAAGATGAACGGTCTCCTAGTTGAACAAAGTTGCTGCATTTTTTGCCTGCAGGATGGGACCCAGCAGGGAAATAAAGAGGCTGTGTTGTGTGAGCGGAGTAAACCCAAACGTAAGCATTCCAACCATCTGCGAGGCCACCCCTCCCTACCCTAGCCATCATCTTCCTGCAAAGTGTTCACAATTTGCTGTCCTTCCTCCAAAAGCCAGTAGACAGCGAATCAGCTTTTCCTGGCTCTGCCTTGCAAGTTGGGGCTGCCTGGTGGAAAACTGAAATAAAATCAAAGGAAAGAATGCCCATCCAGCAAGGCCCCTCTGACCATAAATCGGTGTGAAATCCTCGGTCCTGAAGTGCTCACCCCCATCCACCCTAATAAAGCGAAAAAGGAGGACTCATCTGAGTGTCAAAGTCGCTGCCCGCAGACCCTCTGCTGCAACGCTCCAGCTAGCTAGCTTTCTGAGCTAAGTGCCAGGCAGTACACCATCGCTCTGAACCAGATGTCTGCAAATGCTGGTGCTAACTCGCAAGTGTCCCCATGCCCAGTAGGGAAAATTCACAAGCTTTGTCAGGCAACAGTTATCCACGGATGCTGAACACCGGACCCAGGAATCAAGCAGCCCGCTGGGAGTTTAAAAAAAGAGGTGGAAGGAGAGAGAGAGAGAATCAAATCATACAGGTGGAACCGGCTTCCCAAGAGCGCCCGGCATCCTGCGAGGGCCCCGCGGCGCCAAGCGCCCTGGCTCACCTGGTACACGTCCCGCAGCCCGCACCACGTCCGCAGCACCTGGTGGCAAGCCCGCAGCCTCTCCGTGTACCATCTCCGCAGCGTGGACACGGTCAAGTTCCACACGAAGCGGCTGCCGCTGAACAGCAGGTCCTCCACGCCGCACATGAACACCGAAGCCATGCCGCCCCCTTCCCTGGGACCCCGGGGCGGCCCGGCTCCCACCGCTGCAGCCCAGCCCAGCCCCGCCGCCGCGGCCCGACCGCCGAGGCTCCGGCCGCCGGCTTCTGCGGGCAGCCCGGGGGGCCAAGCCTGCCACCAAACTCGTCTTTCACCGTGCGTCCAGGCCAGCCTCCGGCGGCATGCCCCGGGATTGGGCGCCCGCCAGCCAACGGCTGCGGCTGGCACACAGAAGCCCAGTGTCCGCCCCCGCCCGCTCCGCCGGCTGGCAGCGCCGAGCGAGCTGCGCTAAGCTCCGCCAGGCGAGCCCTCGGCGCTCCCGGGACGCGGGAAGCCCTGGCCTGCGAGGACTCCCCCTGGCGCTCCCCGAGTGCGCTGGGCAGAGGGGGACGTGGAGCGACTCTTCGCATGCAAAGACCAGAGCTGCATTTCAGCGCTCTTGCTCGCACGTTCTCTGCACGCACACACACACACACACACACACACACACACACACACACACGCCCCGTCTCCTAAACCGCTTTGGGGAGCATTTTACTTTACACTACAGGGGCTCTGCTCTGCATACGCTGATAAATACCTCTGGGCAGCCACAGAGGCAGGAGGGGGGGGAAAAAAACCGTCCACAGCATCCCTGTGGACCCCACTTCCCTGGGGGAATTAGCCCCGAACGTTTCCTTGGTTGTGCTGGAGGCAGGAGATGAAGACACCAGTCTCAGAGCAACTAAGTGTCTGCGAGGCTGCACAACTCGCCTTTGCTCCTCATGTGAGGGTCTCCAAGAAAATGACAACCTGCCCGTTGGCGTTGCCAGCCGGAGGGCAGGGTCCCCCACCTACATATCCACTGTGCTAATTCCCATGCAGCAGTCTGTTCATGAGCAAAACAAAGAGTGCTCTTGGTCTTTCGCAAATAGCTTCCAGTCACTGTTTGCTGGAACGTAGAAGCTCACAAGAGAATCCTTGCTTGGGTTCTGGAAAATTCAGCGTCTGGATACGTCTAGCTGCAGCTGTTAGCACAAAACAGCACAGGTAGTTTATTCCTGACTCAAAACAAGGAAAACGGACCACGCCTGAAGTCACCAGACAATTAGTGTTTTGTTGTTGTGGTTGTTGTTGAAGTTATCCCCCTGGAATTGATATTGCCTAAGGCATTTGGGAAAAGGAGCCCAAGGAGCCCACATACCACCAGTCTCTGTTTCCCTTTAAAATATGTGTAGAATTCAGTTCCGTATAATAGTATAACATTTTTTAAAATTTTATTTTTTTTCAGTGTTCCAAAATTCATTGTTTATGCACCACACCAGTGCTCCATGCAATACGTGCCCTCCATAATACCCACCACCAGGCTCACCCAACCCCCCACCCTTCTCCCCTCCAAAACCCTCAGTTTGTTTGAGTCCACAGTCTCTCATGGTTTGTCTCCCCTCTGATTTCTTCCAACTCACTTTCTTATAGCAAAAGCACTGAAGCCAATTTCAGGATGTTATTTGTTTCCTGAATTCATCTGTAGGACAATGGTCTTTTTATTGGTAGTTTCACACCTGGGCTGTTATCTTGGCTATTAAGTGGCAGAGAGGTAAGGTGCCAAAGCCTTTCTCTTGAACGAGCTCAGAAGGCTTCAGAACAGATTATCGACAAGTAAATCAGCTTTATTTCAGGTTTCAAAAGTGCCTTTGGAATCCTACTTCAGGTGAAACTCAATCAGTCAGAATGCAAAAATGTGTTCTCAAAGTGCCTATTGTTTTGGAAGGACCCATAATCAGGAAATTTTAAATAACATTTCTCCTACTACTTTTTACTTATTCTTATTATCTGTAAAATCACCCAAGAGTTTTTGTTGAATTAGTTCATTGCACACACGACCTGATCCAAGATTTGGAAACAATTCTTCGTGGTAAGTCTACCCTCTGCGCTCATGAGTATTAGCATTCTGGCGATGTTTTCCAAACACAATGGTCCCAGTGTTTACACAAAATCAGCGTATACTAGGTCTTACGGAATTAAAAGAAACTGAACTACGTATAGTTTGAAAATGAAATGTCATCCTTGTAATGGAATACTACTGGACTTCAAGAATGGAGTTTTAGTATGAGTGAATGGAGGTGGTACATTTATTTAATGAGGCAGTGTGACTGTATTCTCGGAAATGTCGGGCAGCAAGGGGAATACCAGAATAAAACCTCCAACAGGTCAATTATCTCTGTCTCATGACACCATGCTCTCAGAAGACAGGCTCTAGAAACTGGAGCTCTTATCTCTCTGTGCACAGGTCTACGGTCAGTGCTCAATTCTGACCACAGTCATTTGCATTCCAGATTTCCGAAGTCGGTGCTTATATTATCTTCTGGGAAGTGGGATGTGGTGTCAGGGTTCTCAGAGTGCAGGACCTGAACCAGCAGCATCAACATCACTGGGGAAACTGGTGAGAGATGCAAGTTCTCAGCCCGCTCCAGAATCAGAAACTCTTGGTGTGAGGTCAGCAATCCCAGTGCTCACGCGGCCTCTGGGGGGATTCATACTACAGGGGGAAAAACACTGTTGTAGGACATGGCTGGCAGGAGCCAAGTCTCCTATGAGAAAGACACCTGAGTTAAATCCCTGCTCTTTCAGACCTTGTACAAGCTCCGAAAACCCACAGAGCTTCAGTGTCCTCATCTATAAAATGGGGATAATACCAGAATCCACTATCTAGGGTTTTGGGGAAAATGAAATAAAATATTCCATATAAAGTGTTTAGTGTAGCAGCTGGCAAAGGGTAAGCACCCAAAGAAAACAAACTACCACCACCACCACTCCACGCAAATCATGAACTGTTTAATTTTTTTTTTTCAATGAAACAGAAGTAAGGTGTGTGTTGTTTTGTTTCTTGGCTTTTTTTTTTTTTTTTTTTTTTTAAGTTTCAACTCATCATCTACATCTATTTTCCTATCTCTTTCTCTGGGTTGGAGATCACAGTTGGTGGTGATTTGTTTGCAGGGGGCAAATCTGTCACTTTCATTCAAGTTCCCGAAAAGCTTTTTGAAGCTCCATCTTCTGCAGCACAGCCACCCTTTGCTGGGGGACTTGGAGAGGCCGTGGACGCCCAGAGCTGGATCGAAGACAAATAAAGGCACTGACGTCCACCCTGGTGCTGCTTCTTCCCCACACAGCTTTCCTCTCCTGCAGAAGGAGAAGTACAGAGCTCTAGGACAGGGAAGGAAGGGCAAGTTCCTCCTCACTAGGGACCAATGGGGGGAGGAGGGTGGCCACTGAACCCAGATGTGCTGCTGTGGAGAAAAGAGCGACCCAAGAGTGGCATCATTCTTAAAATGGACTAACCACATGGGACAAACCAGATCGCAGGCACACGCCCTTGAAGCTGGTCTGAAATTTCCAGTGGAAAGGGAGCTAAATCAAGCAGGCTACAAAATTATCTTGCTCATAATTTCCTTCCTTCCTTCCTTCCTTCCTTCCTTCCTTTCTTTCTTTCTTTCTTTCTTTCTATCTTTCTTTCTTTCTTTTTCTCTCTCTTTCTTTCTTTCTTTCTAGAAGGGGACTTTCTTTCCTCTTCAGCATCACAGTTCCCTGCAATACGCTGTAATTTCCTGCAGCTCTCTCTGGAGACTTAAAAAGATGCTTCAGGTGACAGCATTACTCATACACCTGGGAGTTCTGCTACAGAGGTAAAAGAAATTGTCATTATCCCTGAGGCTCCTGTAGGTTCTCCTTTGAGCAATCAGCAGGAAGAAGAGCGCAATGCTGGGAAGACAGCATGAGATGCCAACTCCTGTCTCTAGAAGGAGAGAGCCAGTTGGTAACATAGCAGCTTCCAGTGGTCCCTTCTGCCCACGAAAAATTCACTGCCAGTAGACAAATTTTTTTTTTTTTTTTTTTTTGGACAGAGAGAGTGCAAGGAGGTGGGGAGGGTAGAGGGGCAGACGGAGAAGGGGAGAGGGAATCTGAAGCAGGCTCCATGCCCAGAATGGAGCCCAAAGCGGGGCTTGATCTCACAATCCTGAGATCATGACCTGAGCAGAAATCAAGTCAGATGCTTAAACCACTGAGCCACCCAGGCATCCCTGTGCCAGTGGACATTTGTAAACAGTATTGTCTACACACCTGAAAAGCCAGCATGGCTAAATTCTGATAGAGCTTGAATATCTGACTCGGGCTTGAGGGGGATGAAAACAAGATCTAGTTCAACGGCTCTCAATCAGGGGCAATTTTGCGTCCCTCCCTCTGGGGCATTTGTCAATATCTGGAGACAGTTTTGGTTGTCACAGCTGACGGGGGGAATGCTACTGGTGTCTGCTGGGTAGAGGCCAGGGATGACCCTCAACATCCTCCAATCTCCAGGTCAGCCTCCACAAAAGAGAACTCTTCGCCTAAAATGTCAGTCATGCAAACTGATGAACCCTGGTCTAGTTAAATGCTACACTTTGCTCTTCCGCTTACATGACTTCCGTGGGAGGAAACACTCTTCCCTCTTGATATTTTCTCCCCAGAGGCAGACTGGGGAGGGAAGAATGCAACAATCATCCTATGATCCTTTTCGGGCACTTACAGAGAGCTATAATGAACTTAACGTCCTTTGAGAAAGAACTGGAACGCTATTTGCTATTATCTTCACCTACCTTTTGGTGATTTATCATAAAAATGTGCAATAGTTCATTTTCATCATCAACTATTTGTATTATGGTACTTGACTTCTGGTTTTATCATTTCATTTAAATTAGAGACTCCTTAGTTGGGGAAAAGACTTTGTGGGGCACATTACAAAAATTCCCACCACAATGACGCCAAGGTACAACACTAACGTCTCCCTTGGGCCATGCAATGCTACAGAATCTCTCCTATGACAGGATATTTCCCCTACTTCATCTTTTCTCTATTAGACTATAAGTTCTATCTGGAAGCCCTGAGGGTGTGTTGGGGGTGGGTGGCTGGATGGTCTCTCTTGGTTGAAGAGTTCTGCGTGCATTGGAAGATGTTTTGTGACCCTGGGCTCAGCCAGGAGTCCCCCAGTCATTATGACATCAGTGACAAAAACACCTCCACACATTGTGAATGCCCCTAGTTATAAGAGGAGCTACCCCCATTAAGAAACCACTGGAAGAAGTAGGGAAAATGTCTTATTCATATCTGTTTCCCCAGTGGCTGGCACATAGCAGGCAACCAATAAATGCTTATTGAACTGACAAA